AAAATACGTTGTTTCAAGAAAGCATTGCAAGAAACTAAAAACAATCTAATTCATGCTATAAAAATAGGGTATATTAGTCTTTTTATTTTAGTCTTTTATTTTAGTCTTTTTACATTGTTTTTAAAATTGAACCAGAGATCAAACCATTTTGATCTCTGATTCCAGTTTAGATTGTCTAATTGGTTTAATCAATAAAATCGTTAGTTTGATATAAATATATTATTATGTAGATAATTTCACAAGCGACAAGGTAGCTTTGGTGATAAAAGCTTTTTTTTTTTTACTTTGGAGGCTATGGGTTTTAGTGTCCCAGGTTGTAGCTTTATATTAATAGGTTTCATTTAAAATAAATATATTTAAAAGTATCAATGATCAAAGAAATTGTTTCACATCAAGTGGAAGAAGTTTTATTCTACGACCTGGAAGATGAGAGTTCGATTCTCCAAAATGTCATTTATTCAACAAATGTCATAAAAGAGTTGACTGCTCTAGTGGCTTTGTTGAATTAAACACTTGATGTTGCATGGTCAACTCTTATTGGAACAAATCTTTAATTCTCTAGTATGTCATTTATTCAATAATTTATTTTATATCTTTGAGAACTTTTATGAAAAAAATAATATTTCGAGCAACAAATGTTACAAAGGAGTTCATTGCTCTAGTGGCAGATTATTGAATTGGACACCTGAGGTTGCATGTTTAATTAGTCCAACTATGTGATTTGGTCGAGTTTTTAAAACAATTTCTTTTTTCAGTGGGAGTTTATTGAAATGACATGGTAGTTTTGGAGTGATTTTCCTTGTAATTTTTAAGAGATAAGCCCTATGGCACTTTCCCCTTGTTTATTATTATTATCATTTCATGTCATTTGGGTCAAAAGGTTCAATTTTAATCCAAAATTTTAGAAAAATAAAGTCTAATAAATAAGTATCCTAGTCCAAAAATAGATATCCACATCTTTTAAACAGGTTGATTGGATCAAGAGCTCTTAGTCATACATGAGAATTAGAGGGCTTACAGTGCAAAAAGGAACAATTGATTTAAAACAGACCCAAATTTTGAAGAAATCGAAACTAAACAATTAAAAACCCTAAATTTGCCCTTGCTCTCCCCCACTCTGTTCTTTCCTCTCAGATTCTACTTCTTTTCT